ACTAATTTTCACATCCTTTCACATAAGCCCTGCAGCTCTTTAAGGGCTTTTGATGTCTTCAGGTCAGTGATGCTTTTTGCCCTTCTCATCCTCCTTAGCAGACCCTGGAAGGCCTCCGATGCTTTAGAGGCCCTCCAGGTAACTTAATTTCAGACAAATAATAATTTATGAGCTTCACTTCCTTGTGCAGGGTTGCTATACAGCTCTTATTACTGCCCTGTTTCTTAACTTCAGCCCAACAACTTACATCCTATAGTTTTGACAAAGAGGGTGGGATGAGGCGGAGAGCATGTTTATTCATATTTTTTTAATCCCACATATTTATTTCTGTTAGTTCTTTGATTTAAACAGCAGAAGATTGAGTGGTCAAAGGTCAGGGTGGATGGGGTGGAGTTTTCCCACAACTGCTTATGGCTTAGTGATCCCACTGTTTACACATTCAGTCCCTCTGACGAGGATGATGTGTTCAACAGGAGAGCTTCTCCTATTTTGGGAGCGTGCTTAGACTGGAGCTCTGAATCCTTCCTTTAGAAAACCATTGTTTGCGATGTTAGGATGCAGTCAGGCCCAGAACTCGAATATGTCTCCTTGGTGCTAACTGATTTCAGAGCAGCTGTGTCTACACTGAAAGCTAAGCACACGCTGGAGTGGTCCCATGGTTGAGGTCTTGAGGTATTTTAGCGTAATGGCTATTATGCAGGCTCAGGAGTGGGAGATGTTGTCAGCCAGTCTGGTCACCTTGTATGGGGTGTCCGAAGAACCAAGGGAAACCAAAGTTTGAGCCACTTTGAAAGAAGCGTCTTGCCTTGGAAAGCACAAAGTTTCCCATATAGGTGGAATTTTTCTTTTGGTACATCTACATTGCATAGAAACTGGTTGTGTTTGTTTCCAATAACAGTGTTTGTTATCTCTGGTAGAGAAGGTCCTAGGGTGGAAAATCTACAAGGTAGTTGCTTGTTTTCACACTGATGTAGATTTGTTTTTTGGCAAATGTTGTCCTTTCCTTCCCTTCTTTCATTGCCACAGTAAATTCAGTGTCATCAGTTCAACAACTGAGAATAAAGAGCAGTCCTAGGCCAGTAAATATGTGGTAAGATCATTTTTGATGGACTTAGCATCTTGCAGAAAGACAGATTTTATTTTTTTTTACCTCCAAGATTCAGGGGCCCATCTCGTGCTTTGGTTAATGAAGGGGAACAAGTGCTCTTGTGTGGGTGAGTACTGTAGAGAGGGAGGGTTTTTGATAATTTGCAGTGTGAATATTTTTGGCAGGTAGCACAAAAGAGCAGGTTTGCTATTTATTCACAGAAGATGTTGGCAGCTTTTAGTTTTCCAGGTGGCTGCACTTGTTCCAGTTCATAGTCTCTCGTGAAAGGTAAAACAGAACCAGAATTTAGCCACTATAGACACTGCAGCACAGAAGTATTCTTAGCTGGATGTCTTGCCTTAGAAGAGCAACATGTAGAAATTGGAATAAGGTAGAGAATGAAAGACAGACAATAGCTAAACTAAAATTAGGAACCGAAGTCTGTAGACTCAGTTGAACTAAGCTCAGCATAAGATCAACGGGGAGGCAAAGTGAATTTAAATTGTCTTCTCCAGGATCTGAGGTGAGTGGAGCCCAGCGGAGGGAGGACACTTCTTGAAGAAAAAAACTCGCTGCTCCCCAGGGTGGTCCCTTGGACCTGGAGCTCTGTGGCCTGGCTAAAACCTGGTGTCAGGATCTGGAGATGCTTGTTCAAGCGATGTGAATGTGGCAGAACACAGGCGAGTGCCTGGTTTGCCAGGCTGAGAAGACAGCATTTGAGCTTACAGAAACACATTCTGAGTTTTTGCAACACTAAAATAAATAACTTCTTAATAATTATGGATGGAAACTGTCTCATTAAATCTAAATTAGCAGGTCTCACTTTGAAAGACTGAGTTTGTTCCTATTCTGTAGAGAACAAGAGGGGAATAGCTGACGCAGTAATAAGCTCAGTTAGCAATTGCATTTTTGCAGGAGATAGTTAGTTTCAGTTAAAATAACCCTATTAATGACAATAATACTCAAATCTTGTTCATTTTAGGCAATTAGTCTGTGTATTAGACTTGAATTCTATTCAACTGATTAAAAAGTATGGGGAAGTCCTACTCAGAGATGAAGAACAGCTGTTGTACAATTCTGATGTTCCTTACATACGACCAAGTATGAAACCTGGTAATCTAATTCCATCCAAATCCCTGAGAGGTTAAGACTGAATGTTAGAAGGCAACTTTTGTTGATTCTCCACAAGGCTAATTAGTTTTTTCTCACCTTAATAGCGGAAAAATAGCTGATAAATTCTGTGGCTTATTTTCATCAAAAAGCACAGGTATCTTGGAACTAAAAATAAATGGCTTTTATTTTTCTGCAGAAAAAAAGTAGTCACATAACAATTTCCGCCTCTCTGGCAAAAACAAAATGGCAGACCTGTAGCTAAATCAGTCATGCTGCTCTGATGAGTTTTCCAGGTCTGGCCCTGAGGAACCACTCTCTGTCAAGGAATGAATCACTGAGGATTCAAAGGTCATTAATACATCTCCATATATGAGAAAAATAATCTTAATTAATCATCAGTCTTAAATCTAAATATTGCTCCTGTAAACCTAAAAAAAAAAGAAAGAAAAGGCTCTTCTAGAACCCGCAGGGTAATCGGCTGCATTCGTTTGTATTCATTAGCGTCTATTGCTTGAAGATTTTCATGGCCATAGCTGCATATTAAAATATAGTATGTTAATGCAGGAAGAGTGTTTTAGCAGAAAACTGTAATTTAAAAAGTAGCTGAGCGAAGGCACTCGCTTCATTCACTTTCTTCCTACTTTTCAAGACCAATTCTCATAAGTACTACAATAAATGGCTGGAGTAACTCTTCTTGTCAGTGGAAGTTGCTCTATCAGTCTAATGACAAATCTTTAGCATAAGAAGTTTAGAGGTTTTGATATTGTCCCTAGCAGATCCCATACCTTTAAGTCCAGTTGTTGAGGCGCTGGGGCTTAGAAAATATTTCAGATGTTGTTGAATGAAGTGAGTGAATGACAATAAGCAATTTTGTAGAAACACTTATACTGACTGATTTCCTGAAAGTATCTATACAGAGATGCAGACAATGAGCAGAGATGTTCTTACAAGCACCAAGACTGACGCTCTGTGGCTGGGAGAGCGACATGGGGTCCTGCTCAGGCACGAACAGCGCGGGGCAGCAGAAAGACAGTGATGGGCGGATGGAGGGCACTGCTAGAGCAGGGGTTGCATTTAGGATTTGCAGGGCAGTATGACTTGAGGAAGAGTAAATGACACAGCAGATAAATGGGAGCTGCAGGGAGCCAGCTCCTGGGGTGGGGGAGGATAGTCCAGGCTGCAAAGGGTTTGGGAGTCAGGGGTTTTGGTGTCTCAAAGCAGGTCCCCTGGGGAGTTGGGAAGCTGGTCCCTGGTGCAGCTCTCATGGCTGGGCCTTAGGGCAGCGTGGTGGAGGGCTGTGTGCCTACACCCAGCAACAAAATTTTCTCACCTTGGGACCCCTCTTCTACTCGAAATCCAGACAGCAGAAGTCCCTTTGACAGCAGAAGGCAGAGAACTGGGAAAGTATTGCGGGTGGCTAGGGAAATAGGAGGGAAAGCATTAACAAGTGTTTCACTATTAATTACAGCCTTGAATGATATTTTAAAAATATTTTTGGTAGCTGTTGGATAGTTTATATACTAATGGAGGAGATGGAAATCACGCAGATAAAAAAGAATGATTAGCAGTTTATAATTATAGTGAAATGTTTTGAATTGATAATATGTGGGGAAAGATTTAAATTTAGTTGCTGCACTAAGATTACAGAAAGCTTTGCAGGCATCTGGGTTTAAATCCAGCAGCAAGTAGGTAGTTGATATTGAAAAGACAGTCACACGTGTCTGGCTCTGGCTAAGTGTCTTCTCAAGAAGAGTTAGAATATATGCCCTAGAGAAAAAGGCTTTGGATTTCTTGTCTGGTTATCCATTTTCCTACAGCATTTTGTGGTTTTGGTACACAGAAATGACCAGAATAGCTACTTTTCAAAGCAAATGGGGAGACAAGAGAGTGTGAAGTAGGTTAGGGCTGAGCAGAGGGGTATGTGGGGCTCCCACGAGAGTAGCCATTAGAGCCGTGTAGTTGTGCATGCAGCAGAGATGGGCTCCTCAGCCTAGTGAGAATGTCCTTTGGCAAAGGACACTAAAACATACAAATAAGAAAGCCCAGACTCTCCTGGGTGTGTATCTCAGGGGTCTGACTCATGACTGTTGTTTGGTTTTGTTTTAGTTTTGCTTGAGGCATCCAAGGTTGCAGAAAAGAGGCAGAATTGAGGCAGGACGCTCATCTGCGGAGCACCAAGCTGTCACGTGTGCCCCACAGGCATGCTGACCCATCCCAGGCTCTCCTCCCAGCACTGCTTTGGAGTCTTCTTCCCCTTCTCCTCCCACATAGGCTGAGACTCTTTTCTCATGCCTTTTTATCCCAAAATTTCTCCTTTATTCATGAGATCTCTTAAATCTTGGTGAGATCCACCCCACTTCTGGTTGCACAGACCTTAGCCAGGTGCTGGAGCTTCCCATGAAACCCCTCTTCCCGTATACAATTGTCTTGAAGATGTGCGTGAGACAACCAGATACCACCTCCTCACAGCTGTAGCAAGGTGCTGAGATCTGGAAGGCAGTTTAATAGCTGCAAATGTCACTCATGAAAACTTGGTATCTCTAATGCTGCAATCAATCAAGTTGCTGTATAGCTCAGTATGTTTTATAGCTCAGTAGGGAACTGAATTGTGGGAAGGGATAATATGTTGTGTTTTGAGGTTCAGAAGAACGTGAATTATCTTTACATAAACATATTTTTTCTATTATTTATGCACTTGTGGAAAGGCCAAAGAAAACTTACTCTTCTTTTTTTTTTTTTTTTTTTTTATGTAATTATTCCACAGGATCCTTCAAATCAAAAATGTGGACGAAAGAAAACAGTGTCCTTCAGCAGCATGCCATCAGAGAAAAAAATAAGCAGCGCCAGTGACTGTATCAGCTTTATGCAGGCTGGGTGTGAACTGAAGAAAGTTCGTCCAAATTCCCGGATTTATAACCGTTTTTTTACTCTGGATCCTGACCTGCAGGCTCTTCGTTGGGAGCCTTCCAAGAAGGACCTTGAGAAAGCCAAGCTTGATATTTCTGCTATAAAGGAAATCAGACTAGGGAAGAACACAGAAACGTTCAGAAATAATGGACTTGCAGACCAGATTTCTGAGGACTGTGCATTGTCAGTAATTCATGGTGAGAACTATGAGTCCCTTGACTTGGTTGCCAATTCAGCAGATGTGGCCAATATTTGGGTATCAGGATTAAGGTACTTGGTTTCTCGTAGCAAACAACCCTTGGATTTGATGGAAAGCAGCCATAATACCCCACGGTTTGCCTGGTTAAAAACTGTATTCGAAGCAGCAGACGTTGATGGTAATGGCATAATGTTAGAAGACACGTCTGTGGAGCTAATAAAGAAACTTAATCCCACCTTAAAGGAATCAAAGATTAGATTAAAATTCAAGGAAATCCAGAAGAGCAAAGAGAAACTGACAACACGAGTAACAAAAGAGGAATTTTGTGAAGCATTCAGTGAACTTTGCACAAGACCTGAAGTTTATTTCTTGCTTGTGCAGATATCTAAAAACAAAGAGTATCTAGATGCCAATGACCTCATGCTGTTTTTAGAGGCTGAGCAAGGAGTGACCCACATAACAGAAGAAATGTGTCTAGATATTATACGCAGGTATGAGCTTTCTCAAGAAGGGCGGTTGAAAGGTTTTCTTGCAATCGATGGATTTACTCAATACTTGTTGTCCCCAGAATGTGATATTTTTGACCCAGAGCACAAAAAAATTGTCCAAGATATGACACAACCTTTGTCACATTACTACATCAATGCATCCCACAATACGTACCTAATAGAAGACCAGCTCAGAGGGCCAGCTGATATCAATGGTTATGTCAGAGCTTTAAAGATGAGTTGTCGGAGTATTGAACTAGATGTCTGTGATGGTCCAGATAATGAACCCATTATTTGTAACCGTAACAACATGACATCGCCACTTGCCTTTCGAAATGTTATTGAGGTAATAAACAAATTGGCCTTCTTTGCTTCAGAATACCCCCTTATTCTCTGCTTGGGGAACCACTGCTCAGTACAACAGCAGAAGGTAGTGGTACAACACATGAAAAGGATCTTTGGAAACAAACTCTACACAGAGGCACCTTTATCCTCAGAAGTCTACCTCCCATCACCTGAGAAACTGAAAATGAAGATCATTGTGAAGGGGAAGAAGCTGCCCTGCGACCAGGATATATTAGAAGGAGAAGTCACAGATGAAGATGAAGAGGCTGAAATATCCCGGAGACTGTCAGAAGACTTCTCAAGGGAACCGAAGCTGATCTGGCTCTGCAGGGAATTGTCCGACTTGGTGTCCTTATGCAAATCTGTCCAATACAAAGACTTTGAGACATCCATGAAAGCTCAAAATTATTGGGAAATGTGCTCCTTCAGCGAGGCAGAAGCCAGTCGGATTGCAAATGAATACCCTGAAGATTTTGTCAACTACAACAAAAAGTTTCTGTCCAGGGTGTACCCGAGTGCTATGAGGATAGACTCTAGTAACTTAAATCCTCAAGATTTTTGGAATTGTGGTTGCCAGATAGTGGCAATGAACTATCAGACTCCGGGGCCCATGATGGACCTACACACTGGCTGGTTTCTACAGAACGGGGGATGCGGGTACGTTCTCAGGCCTTCGGTGATGCGTGATGAAGTGTCTTACTTCAGCGCAAATACAAAGGGCATTGTTCCGGGGGTCTCTCCCCAAGTCCTACATGTCAAAATAATCAGTGGCCAGAACTTTCCAAAGCCCAAGGGTGCATGTGCAAAAGGGGATGTCATAGACCCCTATGTCTGCATAGAAATACATGGGATTCCTGCAGACTGCACTGAACAAAGAACTAAAACTGTTCAGCAAAACAGTGATAACCCCATTTTTGATGAAAGCTTTGAGTTCCAGATCAATCTACCAGAGCTGGCCATGATCCGTTTTGTTGTTTTGGATGATGACTACATTGGGGATGAGTTCATAGGGCAGTACACCATCCCGCTGGAGTGCTTGCAGCCCGGATACAGGCACATACCGCTGCGGTCTTTTGTTGGTGATATCATGGAGCATGTTACCCTCTTTGTTCACATTGCGATAACCAACCGAAGTGGAGGTGGGAAGGCCCAAAAACGCAGCCTCTCGGTGAGGATAGGAAAGAAAGCAAGGGAGTACACTATGCTGAGGAACACCGGTCTCAAGACTATCGATGACATCTTCAAGCTGGCAGTGCATCCGCTGCGAGAGGCTACTGACATGAGAGAAAATATGCAGGTATGACACTTTTGTCATGTCCGTTGGTGTGTCCTGAGTGTGAAAGTAAAGGTCCTGGTGTGAGCTGCTGGTAGGGCAAGCTTGCTGAAGCTGGTGGAAGCTGGTGAAGCTTCAGACCCACAACTTTCGTCAGCCTTTAACTGGACATTGGAAGGCTGATAGTTACAGGTGTTAACTAACAAGCAAATGTGGGATTAGGCAGAAATGTTTTAAAAATCAATATGCTCTTCAAACTCTTTACTGGTTGTTTTTCTCTGAGAAAGCAGAACTGAGGGTACGTCTGTGTCCCCAGGCCTCAGGTCTCAAACACTTCATGTCCTCGCTGGTCCTGGAAAACGTCAGCAAGCTTTTGTTTTCCTGAGTGAGGGTTTTGCTTTTAATTTTGTTTGTCTGGGTGAGTGTAAGAAACAATCAGTGGATGTGTCGTTAAGGTCTTGTCTACACCAGAGGAGCCCAGTGGGCAAAGAGCAGCAGGTTTCCCTGAGCGCTTGTTGCCACTGTTTGCCTGAGGGCTGCAGATGTTCAACGTGGGCACTGAATGCCACTTGGATTGCAGTTTCCTCAATAGCTGTGTTGTCTCGGCTGGCTGAGCACTGGCACAGGCGCTGGTGCTGTGTCTTGGCTCAGGCAGCCTCCTGGCACCGCGTCCGCCTGCCCATGCTGTGCCGAGAGCAGCCAGAGCCCGCTATGGCTGGGCGTGTTGGGGGCCCAGGTGCACAGCACCGTCACACATCTGCCTGGCTTAGACCTTTCGTGGTCGGCAGGAGGTGAAGTGGCAGCGAGGCCAAACAAGAACCAGCCTGCCCGGTGCTCTCCTCTGTGGCGGGGGCGACTCTGCGGGTTGATTAAGGGGCAGCTCAATTCAGAGGTCCAGGCGCTGCCTAGAAACAAAACCGAGTAGCATTAAACAATGAGTTTTCTTTAATAAATAATTGCAATCAGCCATAGCTATCTCCTTGGTAAAGATACAGAAACAAGTCATTTTTTCTTTTTTGAAAACACGAGAAAAACGCATAGCACTTCATTGACCCTGCTTTTCTGGACAGAGTCTAAAGCAAATTAAATGTTGGCAGCTGGAAAAGTTTACATAATGACATAAGTTTTAAATCACTCCCAAAGGAATAGTCTAAGCATGTTTTTAAGAATGGGAAACTCTTCCCAGCCTTTCCTTTCCTGCAGGCCTTGAAAGTAACTAGTTTGAAGGGCTGACTCCACCTTCTGTCTAGGTCAGGCACTATATGTGAACTATATAAAAGAAAATACTCTGAATCTGACTCAGAAACAGCATTAATGTGCCTTCCAAGCAAAATTTCAGTACAACATCTTGTTCTGGGGAATCCTTCAGACAGACACAATCGTTGGATTTAACCACATTTATTTGATTAATAAGAAAAAGTCTTTATTAATTGGTTGGGCATTTTCTGATGACTTTTTTCATCGAGATGTGTGGGGGAACATTTACAAGATATGGGTTGTTATAATACTCTCTTACTCAAATTTTGTGCATCTTGGTTATTCAATGTACAACTCAAGAAGCTAAATGATGAGGGCATGTCAGCCATATATCCACTGGCTTGATAACTAAATAAATCCTGGCATGTTAGTTTGGTTTGACCTGTATATCCAGTATTGATTTTTTTACATGTGGCCTATGAAGGGGAACGAGTGTTTGTGTTTCTTTATGATGTGGTAATGCAAGGCTGAAAACAAAGTGGGTTTTTTTCCTGCTTGCCTTTCCCATGGGAAATACGAGGTCTGTCGAACTTGTTCTTGCTGGAGGATGATAATGACAGGAGAATGAGGCGATTACAGCGTCAAAAGCAATTGGAGTCTGAACATTTGGGAAGAGAAATAGCATTTCAGGCTGATGGTTTAATATGCTGGGGACCAGAGCTTGTCCCTGTCGGAGCTGGATTTGCAATGCAAAGTAGCTGCAGAGCTGGCAGCTGGGATACTTGGGCCTGGGGGAAAGCTGGAGCTGCCAGTAGGCTTGGGGAGCGGAGAATGGGGTTGGCTGGCAAGTCCTGTGTGTGCTGGCACCCCGGGGTCCATGGGGGGCCCAGGGACGGCGGGCAGTGGGGTAGCACTGCACCACATCAGGGGGGAGAAGCAGGCAGGCACTGATGGCAGGCAGCAGGGACCGAATGGTGAGTGGCAAGATGTGTTCAGGTCTTTCTTCTTCTTCCCCCAGAATGCCATGGTGTCTGTCAAGGAGCTGTGCGGGCTGCCTCCCATCGCGAGCCTGAAGCAGTGCATCCTGACCCTGTCCTCGCGGCTTGTGGGCAGCGACAACGCACCCTCCGTTTCCCTCTGCATGAAGGATGCGTTTCCTTACCTAGAGCCTCTGGGGACTGTGCCCGATGTGCAGAAAAAAGTCCTGGCGGCGTACGACCTGGTAAGTGCTTACCACTGCTACCTTTGCTTTCCCTCGCCTTCGTGAATGTGGCAGGCGATGCTCTCTGGCTTTCATGCACCCAAACGTTTCAGTTAAATGAATGAGGCTCTTCAAATGACTTAAGCTATGCAAAATTGTCCTTTAATCGCCAGAATTGCCACACTGAGCTTTTTGTTGTTTGTTTATTTTTAAACATGGTTGGGGCTAGCACAGGTTGGCGCTTGAGGAGGGACTTTGTTTACAAAAATAGCAGCAATTCAGCATGTGCTGGCGGCTGTTAGTTGTTGTCCTTGAGAAGTGGCAAGATTTGTGCGCTGCCCTTCACTTGCCTCCCTGCAGCAGAGGGCAAGGCCGTTAGACAGGAAGCTACAGTGTGGGAGTTCCCGGGCAAAGCTGAACCATCCCTTTCCCAACGCCTTTCAGCGACACTGTTGAGTAGTGCCCATGTCCCTCCCAAAGCAAGTCTTGGGAAGGGCATTGCAAAGTTGTAAGGCAAATTTTAAAATGCCCATTTCTTTTCAATGAGGAAGGAGAGGGCAGGATGGAATCCTTACAAAAATGTATAGAGATGAGCTAAAGTAATTCCAGGTGAACACCGCTGCTCAGCCTTGTATGACGTACGTCACTGCTGTGGGAGTGATAGAGCAACAGCTCTGTGTGACTTCCAGCAGCAGAAGTTGCTGTCATTTTGTGCCTCTCGGGCTCTTGGGCTGCCCAGTCACTTCCCTTCCTTGGTAGTTGGGCTGTAGCAACTGATAGCAAGCCGTGTAGTTTTGCAAACCCTGACTTAAATATTGCACTGTGGCAACCAGACTAAATCACAATGTGTGTTCAGTGCACAGCAGCTATTTCTGCAGCTTTGGTTTGTGAGGAATAAAAAGCTGTATAACTTTCGGGGTATTGAGTTGCTTCCAGAGACCCTGAAGTGCTGCAAAGAGTGATCGCAGCTTTGACCAGCTATTCAATGTGCCAAATGCTCACCTCCTTTCCGTCTCATTTTTTGCTCTTACAACACACTTTTCAGGGGAAAATCAGCTTGGCGGGAAGAGGGGGATGCTGATGTTGACTGAAGGAGAAATACTAAAAATACTCTGAAATGATTCTTGGGTTCCCTCCAGAATAGTTTATATTACTTGAAGGTGATTAAGTTCTGGTAATAAAATACCAGCTGTAACAATACCAGAATGAGGATTTGTAAATCCAGTTGATTGCCATATTTTAGATTGGACTTTTTTTGGCTAGATTTGTTACGTGGTGTGATGTCTGTCTGAAAGAGCAAATACCACATAAATAAGAGATTTTTCTGTCTTTGGAGGCCTGCTTAATGGAGTTTTACCAAAATGAATGTGTCACCTCTTATCTTTGTAATTATATACTGAAGAGTACACATGGGACGTTTCAAGGCCTCCTTGTGCTTGGGAAACAGTTTTTCAATTTAAATAGGTGAAAGGCCTCTTTTGGATGCAGACAAAAACACTTGTATAACTGTTTTAAAAAATGTTTGCTCTCACATTTGTCTCTGATGGAGGAAGATGTACGTCCAATGTCAAGAGACGGTGCAAGGAGTTTAAAATCAGAGGGCTGAGAAGGAGAGGGGAATTCTTCTGTGCCTATGTAAGGGTTGATTTGAGATGCAATTCTGGATAACGAGAACATGATACTTTAAATTATTTTTACCCACTTTGTCTGGCTGGGACTGCCTCTTACTTTGCTAAAACTATTTGCTTCTGAAAAAGCAAAAGCCAGATTTAATAAATGTTTTTGCTACATTTTGGATATTTGCCTTTTGAGGCAACGCCAGCAGCAGAATACTGAAACCTATTTAGCCTTTTTCTGTGTTTAAAAAAAATTAACTGTCTCTACCAATCTTGATATTTGAAAATACAGCGTGGGGAGTGGTTTGCAGTTTTAATGTTGAGAAAGGGTTCTTCCTTGCTATGGTGTTTATCGTGACTTGGTATAATCCAGGGCGTATTTCTTTTTAATAAGTTTTTCTTTTGTTGGATTTTTTTTTTGGTTTGGTTTGGTTTTGTGCAAATGAGAGCACAAGGATATGTTGGTTGAAAACAATATGAAATATTTTCGCTTCTTATTTATTTATTTCCATGCAAGATATACTACAGTTCAGGCTTTAAGTTGTTGATAAATATGACCTCAAGGAACTGGATCCACAAGTGCTCGCTGCATGTCTTTAGTTCCCCAGAAACTTCTCTTCACCTCCGAGCACTTTTTGGGTCAACAGGCCTGAGAGCAGTTTTAAATGTCGGCCTCTCTCTTGTATGAATGGGCTGTACTTCTTAATTCCTTTTACAGCAGAATGGAAAAAAGTTTGCCCCTAAATATCATAGTGGCAGGCTGTGATTGTAGGTCTGCCTCATTCGCTGGGCTCCACAGCACAGGTACCATGGTTCCTCACCACCTCTGAAAACACCACGTTTCATGTTCTTTAAAAAGTCTGCTTTGAAAATAATCTCTGATAAGAACAATCCTATTGAATTTTTTTCCCCCTACTGGAAAAAAAAACTCTGTTTTTTTTGTTTTGGTTTTTTTTTTTCCCCCTCCCAAGGAAAGTATAAACTCTGCCTGCGTGTTTAATGGGGCATAGGCAGCACTGACAGTCCAGGCAAATGGAGGTGCAAATGCTCGGAGACCTGCCACAATGATCTGGAAAACAATTAACTGTCTGTTCCCTCCTGCTCAGCCTTTGTCAGCAGGCGACATAGACAAAGACCAGTTTGTGCAGTTTGTTTGTTTTTTTCCTGGACAATTAATTTTACCATTGTGTTCCGCATTAAATATTTCCTTTCGAGAGAGGCCTTATTAGAGTAAACTTTAATATGCTTTATTTAAGGAGTGATTTTTCAAGGCTCTATTTATTTTTTTTTTATGGTTGCATCGCAGTGGTTTAGTGGAACTCAACTGCTGCCGTGTCTTGTGGAGGAAGAGGCTTCATACTGGGTTGTATGGGAGTTTCTGCAGAGGGGAGCAGGGAATGGGATTTGCTGAAAATGAGAAAATGAGGTGGGCTGCTGACAATACACAGAAAACATTTTTGAAAAGTATGTCGACTACCAGAAATACAGTTTAGAATGGTTTATTTCAACTTGCAACTTTGGTTGTTACTGTACATGGAGTATGATGAATGGATACCGGTAACGTTGTCATTGATTCCTGCACATACATGCTGGGATAGCGTAGTGTGTCACTTACAGAGCTGTTCTTCAGACCTTTCCTTTCCCATGAAGGAGAATTCTCCCTCTCCCCCTCCACCTCTATCATCCCCATTGTCGGTGGCCGGGCATGGGAAGATGCTCGCTCAGGTGGGCAGCACGTGCAATGCGTGTTATAACCTGTCAAAACTGATGCCGGTGTTCATTGATCACACCTAAAAAAAGGAGATAATCAATGTGAAGAGAAGGGATAGGGCCCAGCTGGACCTGACAGATGGTTGGATTATTCACTGCAAACAGTTACCCTGTGAAGTTAGGATTTTTTTTTTTTTTGGTTGAGAATTGTTCGGAAACAGGTTGTGGTTTCTCTGTCTGCACGATATATTCATGGGCTGGTGCATGCATGCATGGACTCAGGAACACTGGTGCACTTTGCTTTTTGGTTACTGGTTCAGCATCATTTTTCCTTCAAGATCAAATGATTGAATCATTTGCAAATCAAAAGCAATAAACAAGTGATTATAAATGTTCTTGGGTTTACCCCATCTCCTGGCTCATCTGCATACAGAAATTTTTCTAGAAAAAAAAAAAGAAGGTCCCCAAGTATCTTTACATGTTTGAATCATAAACAACAAAAAGTGTGAAAAAGGTTGAACAGAGAAGCTATTTGTTATACAAACTCATGTTGACATTAACGTTTTTTCTGTGTATTCAAGCCACTTAACTGGAACTGATCTTGTTATTTTGGAGCAGACAGGTAGGGAAGGACAGTGTGTCTGTGGGTGCTGTTGAGAGAGGGCAAGTTAGTTAAGAGTGGCTTGGCCAACATGGAGATGGAGTGGGGATTTTTGAGAAGAGAAGTAACATCTGTGATGCTGCTGGGGAACAAGTAGATGTATTTAATGGCAGTGGTTTTGTTGACACAGGTCTTGGTCCATGCACGCTAGCAGAAGTCTGCTGAGGTGTGTGGGCGTGTGGAGAGGAACTGCTCTTTGCTGTTTTTTCATATTCAGTCTTTTTTGGTTTCTATGTCTTGATGCAGGCATGACAGCTCTTTATTCCCCAGGAGAAAGTCCATTTTCCCAGTTTATGTCAATGCAAAATGACTAAATAGATTTTTGTGAGCTTTCCCGCTGAAATTCATATTTCAGCTGGGACAGAGTCATCCCCAAGGGAACGTTTTTCACCACTCTCTGAGCAGCTGAAGACAAGGGATAGTGCAGAGCAGAGCATCCATTGCCAAGGAAGTGTCATAATGCACTGACGTCAAACACAGTCTGGTACATGGACATTGTCTTGAATTTGTATCTGTTTCAAAGAGTTTTCCATCCAAAATTGGACATAGACTGAGAAAGCAATTATACTTTTTCTTTCTCCACTTCTTATAATTCTCTCTCTTTTACCCACCACTCTCGCAGTTTCTCTCTCTGTTAGCTATGTCCCTTACTCCCTTCTAAAATAGGACCTGAAAACTGTCAGATCACAACTTTTCTTACAGAATGAACTTCCAGTTGGGTACTTAAGTTAACTCTGTTTTAGCCTAAGCATATTGAAAGCTGACCCCTTCCCCTGTTAATCCACGGCTCCTTTTTTATAGAGGACCAGTCTTCACGCACAAGGTCACATCCCACAGCATGCTGACTCTGTATTTCCCCAGAAATATTTGTAAGCAAAACCACAAAATTGGAATTTAAGGTGAATTTTATTCGTGCTACTGCAGTTTCTGTCAGCAACATATTTCAGATGTTGCCAGCTGATGTAACCATCCTCGATAACCGTTCCTCTTACTGGGCTGTTGCAGGAAAAGGCCCAGATACAGAAACCTGGCTT